AAGCTCCTTCTTGAGCTGTGATCCCACGTCTCTTTGAGCTTCTGCTGACAGCTCCCACTAGGACCCCAGTTCTGCAAGGACTCACTCATATCTGTTACTTTCCTTGCCTGCGGACTCAGTCCCATTAATTTCTATGGGATTCCTTGGGGCATGTAAAACTGCACAGGGAGAACTGCCTTCAGGGTGTGGACCTGGAATCCAACTCCGCTCTTATTAATTTGGGCTCAGCGAGCAGCTCAGCTCTTCCCAAAGGGCAGGGCATCATTAGATAGCATGGGAGGGTCAAGTTAGCTGATTCAGCACAGACCAGGGCAAACCATGGGCAGCAGCATCTCAGCTAAGCCTGGCCCAACAGGATTTAGGAGATGGGGGTACATCTATAGTGCAGGTGAGTGCAAGCTTCCCAGCCCGGACAGGCACACTTGTGCCAATGCTGCTCTAGCTTGCACACTAAGAACAGTGTAGTAGACCACCCAAGCTCACATCCCAGGGGTTGTGGTGAGAGGCTAGGCCCTGGCCACTCAAGCTGCAATAACCACACTGCTACTTTTAATGCACAAGTCCGAGCAGCCCTACACAGAGTGAACACTGAACTGTTACTTACCATGCCATCAGCAGCTCCCCTCGCAGGAAACCTCACCCACCAGCCACAGCCAGTCTTTTTACCCCTAACTCTCAGAGTTTTGCCAGGAAGAGTAGTTGCTCAGTCAACCTGAACATGTCTACCCAACCCAGCTCAGTGGAATTCCCTACAAAAAAAAGGGGCAGGGACGTCTACGGCTCTCAATGATACCACTCCACCTAATCACGTGAAGGCAGCACAAGCTAATAGACTCAATGTGGGGCTTGAAACTAGGAAAACCTCATCTCCTATCATTGATCTGCCACTGACCTCCCACACCACTTTGGTCAAGGCACCTTGCTTCATCGTACTTTGTTTTCCCTGCCATTTCAATGGCTTTGTCTACACTTAACAGTTTGAAGCACAGTCATGGCAGTGTTTTAACCTTAAAGTGGAGCCACGGCATGAGTACCAGGAAAGCCCTCTCCTAGTGGTGAGTACCTCGGCTCCCAGCGCTGTAGCCTGGTTCACCCTGACCCTTTACACTTCTGTAACTCGCTGGGCTGGGAGGTGGAAGGGTGTTTTTTCACATACTTTACATGAGAAACAAGGACCTGTGGGCTCCTCCTCCAACACTGACCCTCCTCCCCCACTCCTCTAATAATTATTGGAATGCGAATTGCTCCAGGCCAGGTCTGAAGCAGGTTGCTGGGTGGCAGTGAGGGATGCAAGTTTGCTCTTCCACTGCTGCCTGGGCTGTAACCTTGTCTCTGGCTGCAGGACTTTGGTTCCCAAGGACATCTGACACTAACTCCCTAGGCTATGTCTGCACTACAGGACAAAGTCAAATTAAGATACGCAACTTCAGCTATGTTAATAGCACAGCTGAAGTAAACGTAGCTTAACTCGGCTTTTGGCACTGTCTACACTGCAGGAAGTCAAAAGAAGAACACTTTTCCTTCAACGTCCCTTACTCCTCATGAAAGCAGGGTTATTGGCATCAACCAGAGTGTCCCTCTCACTTTGAATTAGCTGTCTTAACTAGCAGGGATGTTAAATGTTGAGTACTTGACCAATCGAATAGTTGATGCAAATGGCATCGACTATTCCATTAGTCAATAGGGCACCTCTGCCTTTGAAGTGTAACAACAGCCGTAGGGCTGTTGCTACATTTCAAAGGCAAAAGTGCTGCGAGGACCACAGGGCCAGCTGGTCCCCTGCTCTCCACAGCGTTTCAAAGCGGCAGCGCAACGTGGAGCCTGGCATCAGCTGGGGATTCCCCTGCTGATCCCGGATTCCACGTGGTGCTGCTGCTTTGAAATGCCGCGTGCAGCCTGGGGACACCCTAGCTGGCCCTGGGCTGCACACGGCGCTGCCATTTTGAAGTACCCCCTTGCTGCCTCTTTCTGATAGAGGCGGGGGGGGGGAGGGGGGGCTCAGTGGA